AACCGTGAAATCATCTGAGGGGGTTAGCAGCTGAACATATATCATCACAAACAATAAAAGTATCGTCAAGATATCTGTTATACGAATGCAGACTCGAGATCATTTCTCTCAGTAGATTATTGTTTAAGCTCGTCGTGAAGACATCAACTAGGAAAGATCCTAAAGAAGAAACCATGGCAACTCCATCCCTTTGATTACAAGTGAAATCAGTAAATCTAAATAATGCCTTTATCACACCATTTTGTTAAGAACTTAAGGCGGCTGATGAATCACTGGGCTACTGAAATTTATTTCCACCAAAATGCTTAATTTCATCTGGATTTATCATTGTTTTAATCGTCCAGTTATATCAGATAACCTGTGCATGAACTTGCGCGCTGATTTAACTTGCTTCCAAGTGCAATTCTCTAACGAAATGAAGATATACTTCCAGTTATTACTTTACATGTAAATCCTGTACGAAGAAAAAAGTATTTTGTAACTAATTACGCTGTAAATTTCTGTACCGTTTGTTCGCATATTGTTAGAAATAAAGCTTCAATATTATTACTATTATATTAATGGTAACATGCTTGCGCCGAAACCTAAAAACCATATCCGATTCTTGAAGGGGTGGTGGTTGATTTCCAAAAGTAGCACGAAACAGCTATCCAGTCTTCCCTAGTTTTCAGGGGTTCTGCAACCCTTTTCAGCTAATGACAAAATCTACTTTCAAATCTAAACCAATTAGGAGAACCTACTGCATGCAGCTGTGTTCATCAACTCCGTTTGGGTTTGTTGCGGCTTATTTTAACTTACATGTAAATGTCTGCCCAACAGCTAAACCATTCAGATAATAAAAATCGGTTTCAGAACAAATTTCCACCGAAGGATCAGTATAAAATGGCGATAAACAATAAAAAGCCATCAGAAATAATGTAAGTGATGCTTCAATGAAGTAAATCACACATATTACTTTACATGTTCAGGAGGAAATTTTTTTAAAGTTATCTGATTTTTAATATATGAATTCATACTTTTAATCAGTAATTAAGAAGTATCTGCAGGCCAATCAGTTCCCCCTACACAATCCAAATAAATTAATTAGACATATAGATGGACAGACCAATATAAAAACTTATACCGAAGTCTACTAGTGTGGCGTATGCTACTGACAAGATTTATCAGTAGTCTATAAACAGACGTTCATCTGCATAAAATATCAAATAGCAGAGAAATAGATTTGACGTCAGAGGGAGTAAATGAATCAGTGCTGCAAGAAAACATGGAAGACACGAAAAGAAGACAAAGAAACACAATACGGAAGGCAGAAGTAGCAGATGACAATTTTCATATTAGGTGTGCATAATTTCCCTATAGAGAGATATCAAATTCTAAGTAAACATTTCGTTACCAAGTCTTTTGTCTTCCACCATTACATTAGTTGAAGCTTATACTTAATGTCAGAAGCTGAATCAAGACACCCGTAACAAAAACATCTCCGTACCTAATTTTAGTAGCAATGACGGGGCAGCATCGAAGTAAAATTCGCGAGGCGAAATGGGTTGTTTAGATTCTGCATACATCTTCCTTCTTGACTGCAGTAAATTATTTATTCTGCTATTCCATCACACGTGAGAAAAGTTATGAGGACATCTTCAATTCAAAATTTTTAGATTCATAGACGATACTCGTCGGCCGACCATATTCCACAGACGAAATGCTCCATAATTCAGATTAACAGGCATCTCTACCCGTAACTAACTAAGTCCCGAGATTTCAAAAGTAAAACATATGACCTTTAGATTATTTGTAACAACATTACAGATAGCTGTAATAACTTCTGATCAAAACTCCTACAGATCTTTTAGATGGCTCAAAAACTCATCCGGGACTCTCTTCACGACCTAGACATGTGGTCAATGTCGGATGCCGACAAGTATTCCGATGTCTGAAGCCTGTCAAAGGGTAAAGACTTGACAAAATACCCTGATTCAAGCTTAAAATCTGCCTCCTTCTCTAGGATTAGTCGTTTCCAAACTTCACTTGACCTTTGAATGGCCAGATATTCAAGGATCTTAGGAATTATACTGGTCTATGATCTCCACAGAAAGACTTATAATTTGCAATGACCAACGATCAATACCAAAATGAAGGATCTGTCTTTAATTCCCAAGCGTCATTTAATCTACTCAATAATTGAAAAAGTAGTCTGTTGATAAACAAACACCACAAACACTAACGGATCCAGCTTAGTTCAAGTAACACTGGAAGATTCTTACCACCGATTACTGATGGCAAACAGAACAAAAAGACAAAATACTTCTAGATAGGTCTATAATATAATTTACCTTAGTCTCTTCTCACTTTCTGATTTCATAGGTTAGCATAAATAAGAACTAAAATAGTTTATACTAGAAGATATCCACCAGTGTATAGTCATAATCAGTGTTAATATATTCTACTACAAAGTGCTAGGCATAAAATCATGTCTTTGTTCATCATTTCATAATTTAGTTAGTGTTTACCCGTCAAGAAACTTGGTGTAAGACAGAAATTATGAGTGAAATAAGTGGACCGTATCTCTACATTTTATACACTTGATAAAATCACAATCCAAGCATGATAAACTACTTTACTGTCTCAATGAACTGCAAACTTGCTCACGTTATTTCAAAAATGTGAACAATGTTCCTACAAAATTTCTCGACTATGAAATTCTATCACGTAAACTAATAATTAAGTTAAGCTACAAAACCACTTCATATTTGTAGAAATTAGCTGATCAGATTTAAACTGTTCAGTGAATTGACAATTTCCTTCCAAGTAATCTCTTCAGTTTTTGTCTTCCACTGTAGTCTGTTCGAATCCTTAATGTCGTTAGGCATCAACAGAAATGTGGGAAAAAGTATTCAGTACCTATTAAATTGATGAAGAAAAAATAAATTTCTTCTGATTAATACCAATGAAATTTTATAGTTCCAACCTTAATAGATTATAGACTACACAAGTGTTATCATGATAACTTGATTCCAGACTGAAACAATGTCTTGTGTCGTGACAAGATTCAAACCTCCAAGAACGCTGAGACGGTAACAAGGAGACCAAAGCTACTAATCCCGCAATGACGTTAGTTTTTATTGCAATTCCAAACATTATGCCATTACAATCACAACACTGAGTCAAACAACAGATTTTCCACAGTCTCGTCAACAAAACTAGTTGTATTTAATACAGAATTTAACTGAGTTGTCTTAGAAGAGACTGAAAGGAGTAAAGTGTATTTTGAGATAACCACACTTCTTGTTAGTATAAGATATGATCTGAAACTCGATGGAAATTAACAGTGGCCTGTCTTGCTTTATCAACCTTTATCTTCACCTAGCTCAGCAAATATAGTAATCATTTGTCTAAATCGATTGTCATTCCTGTTGGTTGATTGGATGGAAATTTTCGGCTTCTGTTGACATGGATGCTTCGACGATGTTTGACAACTAACATGGTGTTATTTGGTGGGTGGTGGCTACCAACATAACCCAGAATGCACGTTTCGTCCTACTTGGGACTCGCCACCCTGACGCACCACCACTGACACTCGATCCCAGCACCTATCGTTACAAACTCTAAGGCATTACCCACTAGACTAACTAGCGCACGACAGCCAACTTTTGTGAGGCGAGTATTAGTTATTATTTGTTTAATTGAATTTCATATTTCCCGTTCATCATTGATTGCACCGAAATGTTCCGTCTCTCACATTATATAGTCAATCAATTACTCGATAAATGACTGCTTGTTAGCAAACAAGCCAATCATATGACAAATACTTCAATAACGATGACAATAATTTTATTCCTAACAATGTCTTTTGAAGAATATATGAGTGCTGATACTTGGCTGTAAAGGTGTTCTTAATATTCTCCAGTTGTTAAAACGACCTACGTATGTGAAAAAGATGCTTCTTCTAGAGAATAACAGCTCTTATGTGTTGTGTATAAATACACAATAAATTTGAACAGAAATGTTTATGCTAAACAAGTTCTTTAATTTAAAAATAGAATTTTAACAACATGGCAGTATTTAACTTCGTAATGATTCACCTATTAGAAATAACACAGTAAAACACTATTGCTTACCGTATGACCCTTTTATTACAATCTATTGTCCCTATTAAAATTATAAATGTAATTTCCGCGCCAGGCCCTCAAGTGGGACCTGAGTGGGAAACGAGTGGATCGTCGGTGCGAGGATGACATAGAGGAGATCGTGCGAGGAGGAGATGAGAGATTATGGACAATCGTGAGCTCAGGTGAAGAGGACGGCAGAAAACAGAACAAAGTGGAGATGTGTTGTTGAAGCCCACCCTATGTTCCACTCGGAACCCAAGGGAGCAATAATAATAATAACTGTAATTTCAAGCATTTATCTTATCATTCAACAGAACACTGTGAAAAAGACAAGCTTTGATAATAATGTAGGTTTTCTCTACATGCGAAAATTTTGTTTGCGCGAAAATTGTATCATTTATTATTCACTCAGCTAAAATCTAATTAGGACATAAACTTACGGCTATTAAATAAACATTTTCTTTCCAGATAAGCTGTGAATAACTTATATGAACTGTATTCAGTGTAATTAGTTTACGCTTTTATTGATCTACGGGTAAACCATAACATCAATTTATGTAATATAATTCTTACAGTAGCAATGATAGTGTGTCTCACGTGATGCGAAGATTATATACAACAAATTAGACATGATAAAGTAATAAGCCTATCACCTTCATAATTTCACTAGTGAGCCCTAGTGAGTTTACTAAAGTAAAACGCGTTTAACAGTACAGTTGTTTACTAGAGTGTGACAACCAGTTTCCTTTAGAAAACATCAACGATAAATTTTACTGACAATACATTCAGTAGTAGATAATGCAGAATTATGTAGAAATTTCATATATCAAGTTACAGTTCATTTGCCAACAGGCTGAATTCGCTCCATTTCAGTTAATCCCAGTGATATATTCAGGTTTGCGTTCGTCCAGATAACCTGACACGCTTTACTGTCTTGAAAAGCTTTTGTGTTGTGCTGTAGGAAACTACAGTCCAATTTAACTAACGGGTTTCACAGTGAAGCACACTTCAAAAATGGGAATCTTTTACCTGTTTAATTCAAAAATAAAATAATCAAGATAGAAGAGGAGAAAATCTGAAGTGAAACAGAATAATTATTTTATTGATAATAGAAAATATTAAAAAAGACATCCTGAAGACAAATTTGAAGTGTATCTATTTACAGTATCGATCCGACTTCATTTTCTCACGTCTAAAAGGAAAAGAGAAGAGAAGACAGAAAGACGCACTTTAAAATTAGAAGAATTAAAACGATTTATGTGTCTACAAGGAAGTTGTACTTAGACACTTTTGACAGCTCATTATTCATCATCATCATCATCGTTTTCATTAGTGAAACTTAAAATGTGTACCCCTTGAAAACGCTTTATGACCATTCGAGTGGAACTGAATATACACTCACTGATACACTTCTTGATGAAACTTACAGGAGTGTGGTGGTGGTTATACCCTTGCAATAGTTAATATAAGCAACCTAATTAATCGGCGACCTGCTTAAAACTTGGACTACCAAAATCTCCATCATTAAGTTGCATAATGGACACTTGTATACTTTGTTTTAATCTATTAAAATTATGACATCTAATGGTATTGTTCACTCTTGCGGGTATTTCGAATGCTTACAACTTACTGATTCGGAAGTTTCTACTAAACTTGAGAAAAAAGGATAATCGTCGGTGGCAACATATCTCAATACATGAGGTAACTGTTCCTGAGATTTTTAGTACAAACTGTCATTGTCTGGGAAGCAAAACTAACTACCGACAGTCTTTAATCATTCAATTATGTTCTTGGGTCTCAAAATGTACTCCTGAACGTTTTTTAATCAGCTTGCAACCAAATGTCGTATATTTCTCCAAAGAGACAAAGGTATTTGTCTACAATTCAGGTCAGACAGCACTGTGTTACGCGATCTACGGTCCATTACTATTTGACTTTAAGATCCTGGATGAAGGGAAAACATTATGCAGTAAATTCCGCTTAAAATTCTATACATTACATAAACGCTGTCCAGAATAAAGCTATCATTATTATTATTATTCACAAATATAGCGATAGGATTTCAGTATTCGTTTCATGTTCCTTTATTCGCTAGACATATCATTACATAATGAAACAGTATACTCTAGTGAGTGATTTTATAGAACACAATTTACAGTTTTCACTCATGTCAGGGACAGTTCATAACTTTTACAAATTGCCTTTATAGTACTAATCTTTTTCCTCCTTTAACTGTAGAAGGATATAAAAACAGAACCCAATAAAAAAAATATATCGATTGATTCTGTGGCATGCTTAACAAATAAGACAAAAAGAATCCACAACTACCTACTAAAGGTATTAACAATTATTTGTTACTATTTAGTAATACTGAAGATTAAAACCTATTCAGTAAATTTAAGGTGTATTTAGCACCCCCACACGAGCTAATATGCATTCATCAACACAGGGAAGACCATAAGGTAAAATGGAAGAAAAAACTAAATGGCAAATCTGTTTTTTGTCTTCACTTCCCGGAATAAGTCTTTCATTCCCCAGGCTACGAAATACATTCATTGTGTGAGAGCTGACGATACCCATCTAGTTGGATCAGGCTAAAGTAGATGGGGTGAGTCCAAGATCCCCTAACTGAAAGCTGAGTGCTTACACTACCATGATATATCCAGCCTTCTGTCGGCTTTAAAGTCCGACAAATAACTGCTCATATTTATCTACACTATAATAGGCGAAACAAATAACTTGGATTCTTCTTTTGTGTAACTAAACTAAGATGCTTCAAAAATAGAAACAAAAGATGTCACTTAGTAGTCTCAAGAATTTAATCATGAAAACATCTTTCTCTGGAAATTCTTCATGATGTGTTCCTTGTAAGCGATAAAAAATTCAACTCCTAAGCTACTCATCATATACAAAACTAACAACATGTACATTATAATAATCATTATTCCGCTCTGAGTGGAACGTATGGTATCAGAGGTAAAATATGTGTAACGAAGTCGAAAGTAGAGACGTAACGACTCATACAATCTTACTTATTAGAATTCAAATCAACAATTACACATAATTTTCGCTATACTGTACGATCAAGTATATACATACTTATTATGTCGCTAAGTAAATAAGATGTAATTTTCAAATTATAGTCAATTGTTGGAACGTTAGGTTGTTAGTTCAATGAGATACACGCTCTTTTTGATTGGACACAAGTCAGTAACTAGTGTAATGTGTGTGTGTGTGTGTCTAGTCCTATCTTTGGTGCAGACTGAATTCTACCAGTCAAGTTTGCCACCATGCTAATTGGCTGGCCATCACGGTGAACTGTGAATTGTTGGTATTAGATGGTTGGAGGCGATCGGTTACCTCACCAAAGTGAGTTTCAACCAGTTCCCTAATTAAACTTTTTATTATAAATACGCTTAGAAAAAGCTAATGGTATACACGAAGCCTAATTCCGCAAATATCCAGCCAGTTACATCATCGTTAAACCTCTACAACCATCACAGGACAGTATGTACCATATTAATAAGTAATCGAATATTTCGCTTCTTTAGTTCACTGTTACCAACTTAGTGTGTGTTTTTAAGCAGTCCGGAGTTCGTAATAGTTTTGAACCGCTATGCTACTCTAATTTACCTTAAGTTACCAAGATTGACAAATACTTTTTACATAAAATACATGAAATTATTGGAGTTCCACACCTTTTGTAAGCAGCAAGAAAATAATTAATGAATGACTGAGAAATAATCAAAATATAAGTCAAAGTAGAGTTGTTACATCCCCATTCTATCGTGATTTATGTATATATATAACCTTTTAGGAATCATTAGAAATTTTCAACTAAAATTGAAAATAGTAAGCAAACAGGTTGTCTAAAGTTAGCTAGTTCGCCAATTTGGATTTAATTAATTCTCATATAAACAATAAAGCATCTTTCACCAAAGGTCAGACAGCTAAAACAACAAAACAATATATTCTAATCTTAAGAAGACACCAGCAACAGTAAAAGCAATGATATTACATACCGGTCCAGGAGACATTCGTAAAGATTACCAGAATGACGGGCGCGTTTTACATCAGCGAACTCTTCTTTGCTCAAACGAAGCTTTTGATCTTGCCAGCTCTGATATTTACGGCTAGAAAACATTATTTATGCGGATAAAACAAAAGACACTTAGTCAAGAGTGCCGAAAATGGAGAAAAAAGAAATAAGTATATGCAGAAGACAGTGAGCCGAACCTACAGTTTCGAGGTTGACCACAGCCACTTAGATTTGCGGACTACAGCCGGTGGTGTGAGGTTTGAACTTATTCCCTAAACGTTGAGTAACTAATCTGAATAGCTGCACTTTCCCTTTCCTTCTCTAATTTATTCCTGAACGAAGACATAAAACCACGTGATATAGTTGAGCATTTGCTTCGCTACATGTCACACTGAAACGTCCAAGTGAAGCCAATAAGTGGGGAAGTAAAGATACGGTAAGTTACGAGTGGTCAAGCCAAACCTCAGAATCAGCCCATGAAACCTTTGACAGTTGATTTGAGCCGCATAAGGAATCAATGGTTGGAAACTATTGGCGAAATCCTTCAAACTTTTCGAAATGGAATAAATGTGATTTATTCCTAGTCATTCGCTAGATTTTGAAAACACTCAATAATCTCCATCTAGCTGTTCTTTCTGTCGTATATTTTCTTCTCTTGGAATTTCATTACATTTCCTTCCTTTATTGTTATTACAGATAATTTTCCAAAATGTAGCAGCCTGATCTGATACACTTATGTGAAAAGTTCTGTACTGACAATTCATTTTAATATTGAAAACAACTTAAGTTGCAAACTCTGAAATAGCATCAATAAATACAAAACCCAATAACTCACACATAATTAACCTCAGCTTTTTTCAAACCCTCGCGTTCTTCTTCTGGAATGTCCAATAGAGGATCATGTGTAAGTGGTTTGTTTGAACGGAACTGAAGAAAATTTAGAAGCAAATAAGGGGAAAACCAAATATTTATAAACGTATGGTGAATAACATCATCACAGCATAACTTCATGGGTTTCGAAAACAGGAAGAATACTAATTGAGAAAAAAGAACTGAGTCAGGACCAAGTTATAAGTATCACAACTAGTTAGGCCTAGTGGCTCAAAGAGAGCATGCAAAGATTTAGGATCAGAGCAGTTGCGTAAAATTCAATTCTTGATAGAAATTTTAGAATTACAACACACTTCTTTGTAACATAATATCGACCGTTTATTGCACAGATTACATTAAACTTGTTCGTCTGATGCTTACAGAATCTCGAGAGAAATGAACCACTAGTTCGAAATACGTAGTTACAGTCTATGAATAAGCAGTAATTTTTGAAGATGTGTTTATACTAACTTTAATGTCCACAATAACACTTCAAATAAGGAATGATATTTTCACCATACTTAACTATTAGAATGGAGATATGAAAACTAACTTGTTCTTTGACATAAGTTTCTTATTTGTAAACCGTTTTAACGTCATGCTACACATCATTAGTGTATCAAGGTTTCAAAATAAAGTATACAGATCAGAGAACAACTGAGCTCGAATTCTCTGATACTGGAAATGTAAATATAATTTCTAGGCTAACATCCAGGTAAAAGTACAACTATATACATAGTTTTACCTATATCGTCGTATATAAGAGGTCAGTAATCACTTAGATGGTTGTTTACTAGCCTGAGTCACACAATTTGCAAAACCTAACAGTACCGACATAAATGATGCATAATGGTATGATAGTCATTAAACCAACACATGGCAAAAAAAACACTTCATAGTGAATACAGATAAATTATGAAAGTACATACAGTAACCATTTCATTCGTCTTAGCTTGTTGACTTTTGAATACTACATCGTCTGTATCAGGATCTGGAGAAAGGAAACAATTGTTTGCACCCAACAATGCACTACGACCATCTTGGAAAACTGGTTCGAATTGTTCAAAAATACCAACGGCATCTGCTGTAGCCGTCAGAAGAGCATCGGATTTCGTAGAGACGCCAAGGTATTTGCCATAACTGTGCAAAAGTAGAAAATTTATTATACATAAATCTATTAGAGATACATTTTTAAAATAATGAATATAAGACTGTATTGACACACTGATGACACGTACGGCGACAGTAATTTATGATTACCATGCTTGACCATCAGATGTTCCTTTTCAATCTACATAATAAAAGAATTTATGAAGAAAGGGAATACTATATACTTCATACAAATCTTATTTCTACTTGTTGAAACACCCTGGAACTATATTAGGTGGAGCGAGTTATATTGGCCATTGCTCTAGGAACTTGATTTTTCGTGCTCGAGAACATATCGCACTATGCCTAAGTAAAGGTGTAGCTAAAACCATTAACAGCTCGATATTAGACCATCTGTTGCAAACCGATCACAAAGCCAGCGTAGAAGAATCCTTCTCTATAATATACCGGGTGCCTAACAAATTACCTAAATCATCGAAGCACCACATGCTCCAAACAGCAGAGGCTATTGCAATTCGCTCTGTGTTCAAAAGAAACAAGTCCAGCCCCTACTATTGCCCTGGCCCTCAGCAGAAACTATAAACTCATGAATTCGTAATATTATCTTTCCTAATTCTTCTGACATTCAGCTTATTTTATGTTGATGCTATTCAGCTGTAATCTGTCAATATTATTGATTCGATGTTATTTAAACATTAATGTCGTTCATAACACTAATTCATTCATTCACTATAATGTATATATATTTGTAGAGCCTGATAATGAATTCATCGAAAAGAGTACTCTTTGTTCAGTATCCACTCTTTAGAAAATTTTATTGGGCATTTTTAATCAATTATAAATTATTTTATATGCTAAAATTTACTGTTAATAATTCCAACAACAGTCCAGAACATATTAAAACCAATACTCACACTAACTAACCCAGATTTAAAAGCAACTTTGGTTTCTGAAACTTTCATGGCAGTAAAAATTTCTTCCGGAGCCGGTGGTTCGCCATATTTCCTTGGTGGGCCAATAACAAGTAGGCCCTCGTCAGTAGCTGACAAGTAACAAGCATCCGGAAACTCCTTGTTACTTAAATTCTGTTCAGACTCATTGAATGACTGTGCACTAGATGCAACATTCACCTGTATTGCGATTGAGTCCTTAATTTCATCGAACTCCTTAACAGACCACCAACCACCATGGGCTTCTGCATCAAGTATGAGTTCTGATTTTTTCACTTTAGGCTCTGAATCATGCTGTCTTTTATGACGCTTCTTTTTCTTTTCACCTTTCAGTTTTAATTTTCCAGGTCGTACAAATGAATAATTATCCATTACCTGAAATATTCATTTAGATTTCATATGTAACAAATAAACAACAGTGCAATAAATAATTATTTAATTCACCTCTACTAGGTTCACCTCAGCCTGATTTATATATGATAATGATAAAAGAAATCGAGGAAGTTTTGATACAAACTGCGAATCAGATACCAACTACAATCTCACCCTAGGAATTACGAACCACCAAACCTTATGCACGCCGGAGCACTAGTTGTATAGCAAAAGGCATTAACATCCAAATATTACGTCAATATACATTTTTCAAGTACCAAACTACAGGTTGATGATACTCATCAGTTGCCCAGAATAAATTAGGTGAAGGATTCTAACATGTGAAACGAAAGTTGAGTGCTTAAGCCACTGATCCATACCACACTCATGCATTATGAAGACCGATACTAGCGACCAGATAACAACGTTCACTAACTGATCAAACATGCAGATGCATGATTTGAAGTTGCGAGATGTCAGTAGTATAAATGAGATTAACTAACGTTATTTTTTGTAGCATAAAGATGTATTTACATTAAGTTCTTCTATCCCATCTCTCATACTGAGTGGAGCAGTACGGCTAGTAAAAATTAAGCTACACGTAGTACTAGGTAGAAAAAGTGAATCGATGAGGCTGTGAAGTTTGATCAACTAAGTTCGCTACATCATGAGTTACGTAAGTCAAGCTATTATCTTTTCTGTCGAATAATGTTAGCTGGAAGAGAAACCAACTGGAACAGTTAGTGGTTTTTGAAAAAATATGAAGCCTTTGACTATTAGTGTAAGCCATTTACGAAGATGTAGACTTTCTGGTTGAAGCCATCTTAATCAGAATCTGATTCAAAATTTTTCACTCCTTGTTATTTTCCAGATTCTAAACACTCTATATAATTATATATAATAATACATTTTCATTTTTTCATTACACTTTTCTCCTCTACATTTCCGTGTAATTTTCCAGTGTGGCAACATGAACTGTCACACTTTTGTGCAATTCAGTCAGTGCTACATGAAACTAAGTTATTATATCGTGAAATTATACTCTGCTATAGTGCCCAAGATATATACTTGTATCAGTAGACTGATTAGTGCTGTAATTTATCATCAGTCGAAGTCAATGTAAAAGTACTGGAGGTAGTAATTAATACGTCAGTTGCATTCAGGAACAGTAGAAATAAAAATAACCCTCTGACTAATTACTCCGTCTACCCTTCGGTGTCATTAACCTACGCATCGCGAACTTAGAGGAAGAATTTGTGTATAAACAGATACATGGGGTACTAAAAGGCGTGTTAAAAACACAACACATCAACGGGTCACGAAAGCAGTTTTGCCACGCGGTACCCATCGTTATATTTGAAATAAGGTTTGGTGCTTTACAGCTTTAGGGGAGACTTATGGACTTTTAAGGACCTACAAACGGTGAGTCATTAATAACAGTCACAGAGTTAGAAGAGCACGAAGTGTATGGTTAATAGTATCGGCATTGGGGATTAAGCATGCGAAGTAGATGAGCACGGATGACGAAGAGACTGGTTTCGTGCGCTCGTGGGTCGTGAATTCTCGAAATGAAAAAAGGTGAGGGTAATAATTCCTTTGACAATAAAGGTCTGAAGAAACTAACCACAGACTAAAAACTACAGCAGTAATAGGAATTTACGTTTTTCTCACCCAACTCTTCTAGTTACCCAACAGAACGGAAACTATCATTGTTCATAGACTGTAAACCTCTTTGATAGAATTATGACTTTCTCCTCAGACCGCCAAGACATAGCGCAAAGCTCATGCTGGAACGGTAATTGTATATAATTTTACCTGTAGTCTACCTTATTTTCTATGGTGTAGCGTCTATATCAAACAGTTGGATCTCCAACGAAGTAGTCTGACCTACTTTGCAGACGAGAGAAAAGCTGGTCAAAGCATGGTATGCATTCCTTTCAGATATTGGCAAAATAGTTGCAAACGGAATATTACTTTGAACTTGGAATAGGATAGTGAGAATAAGCGAGCAAATCGTGGGGTAAAAAGGAACCCAGCTAACATTTTCTTCGGGGGCACTGCCGAAAGTGGGACAAGGCCACAAAGCCTGCCCCAGACATTCTGCGATACGCCCGAAGTCATTGCTAGCTGGGAAAAAGTTGAGAAAGGCGAAGAAAGTTTAATATGAATTTAATCCACGTTGTGACCATGTATCATCAGACTGAAATTGTTAATTTAGCAAAGCCTCACTTTCTGCATGTGAAGTTTCCAACTGGACCAACTCCCGAGTCAGTAAGTGCAATTTGCGAGGCAGGTCACCATGTCACAGTTTCAGCTACCTGTCTAACAATTTGATCGAAATCTTACACTGATGCTCTCAGTGAAATAAATAATACATTAACTCAGAAAATGCTAGAAATACGGGCAAAACCAACGACCTACCTGATGACCTTGACGAAATTAAATTTCATCGTTCAACTGATGACCCTATGATATGTCAGGAAATGAAAATTCCCATCAATCCAGAAAACATATAACACAATTTTACTAAAAATTAATGGCAAAAAATTCACTAAGTTAAATTTCAACCAACATACCAGATAAGTTCAGTCTGTGATTGCACACATGACATGCATAAGTAAGCTGTTTGAAGAAATGAAAGAAAAACACACTGTTCCTTCTCTAAACATGTGCCTCAGACTTGCAAGAAAACTTTGTGTAATACTTGGTGTTGAGGATGTATGATGCACCTCAAATAACTTTATTCGGGATAAAAGAAAATATGTGAACTATGGTATCATCCGGATATCCTTGATTGCTGACACAGTACCTAAGAAATCTATAACTAATGACAGTATCGACAGCCTAGTTTAACCTGTAAACAAATCAGTAGTGAGCTTCTACAGCAGTAAGTCAGAATGTGGTAGCGAAGCAGCCTTAGACGTGAGTGACTTTACATCTCCAGTATTGACTATGTCTTTACTTAGCTAAAGATATTGGTGTCACTTGCTGAATTTAAAGTCTACACATTACGCAAAATCTGTTGTCTCTAAATAAGCGTAGCTCACAAGATTCCCACACCAAAGAACGTATGCCTCAAACACATGTACAGTACTCAGTTGCTCCACGACCCTTTCTAATTTATTGAATGAGCATGATGGGATTCTTTTAGAAAATACTCACCGCAGGTTTATAAAACCTCCACCACAGACCAATGAAAGCTTCAATTTCTTGTAGAGATGCATAAAATATGAATGCCAGCCACTTTGGATAAAAAGCTAAAGGCTTAACTAGAATTTCTCTTACGTCTTATGTACAGTAACCCTAAATGTAAATGATACGTTGATTTCAAACAAGGAGTACTTTATTATTATTCACAAACCATTTCTCTCATCAGCTACTGAACGAAACAACATTCACGGACTTCCTTAAATGACACGCCATACGTTAGGATGGATTCCCACCTCTGGCGTCAGTTCCTCAATCTCTCGCTCAACTTTGACGAGTTCTGAATGAGTTTTCCCTGTCTTGAAGTATCTGCCGAATTCTTAGCACGTATCCTAATACAGCAGACATTTGGAGAAGAAAAATTATGCAGATATAGATACCTGGCACGGAATGTTTTCTTAAGATTCCTTACGTTATTCCCCTTTTTTTAACGACACCTACCCATCTGCACTTTTATATCCCTATCCGAAACATACATCAACCACAGTACGTTCGAATTTGGTGACGCTTTTGTACGTGTTTTCGCTGATATTCATTTTTCGGTTCTGCTATATTACCACCAATAACAATGGGCAAAAACTCTAAAAAGTGTTTTCTTAGGAACTATAGTAATTGAGACATTAGCTTAAGCTTATCTAGTAACGCATTATCACCCCTCAAATCAGCTGTGATTAGTAGTTCACCTAATACAAACGGTTCCAACATAATGCTAACACCTGTAATACAGGTGGAAGATATCCTGTCAGCAAAGGCAGAGATTACTAACTTAGTCTGCATCATAAACGACATGCAGCTACAAATAAATGACCTTAGGACGAAACTAAATCTACTTGACCCGGTACCAGAAACAATCTTCCATCTTAAAAAGGAACTGGGAGATCTCACTTTCCTAAAACTGTTTAAATTGAAGACTAAGCCGACCGATGCTGAAATGGAACATGTTAAGGAGCTAGAGAACGCGATGGACTATCTGTCGAGCGAAGTTGTTAAGGGACTTGCTTCTAAACAGAACGGCATAGTGTACAACATACCTGACAATGAGCCCATAAAGTCGGTTCAGCACTCCTTGTTAAGGGCTGCAAACCTCTTAAGTACACCCTGTCAGTGTATTAGACTAAATAAAAAAGAGTCGAACCGCACATGTCCCATACTTTTCAGGTTTGACAGCTGTATAATAGCCGAACAATTTAGGAAAACTGGGAATACTTTGGCCTCCACTACGAAATTCAAAAATGTTAAAATAGTCTCGGACAAAACCCCCAACCAACGACAAATTGTTAAAAATACCTTAGATACGGAGACGATTATATCACAAATCATGAGTAGCATCAATGCCGAAGTGTCGAAGGACATTGAAGCACAAATTGACACTTGCGTTGTACTAGGTGAGCAAACGACACGCGAAGGTGAAAGGAAACCCAAAGGGAGCAGTCAAACTGGAATGAGTCTGGAAGTTCGTGAGATCACTCCTAGGAAATCTGCCGATCCCACACATGAAGTAGACATAGATGCTCCTACTATCGATAATCTGCAAATATCGGCAGATCATACTGCACCCAGGGCCAAGCAAGATAATCACACTGTAAAAGCCGAAAAGAAGTCCCCTAAAACCAAGGTTTCTCCACAGGCGTCCATATACCTCCCTTGTGACAAGCCCAACAAGCAGCATGTAAGCCTAAAAAAGAATTATGTACGCACTACGGCAGGTCCCATAAAGGAGACGGAACACATGAGTGGAAGTGCTCTTCGTCAAACTAAGAGTAGTAGACAAACTGTGGATGACAGACTACACGAGGTGAGAACTAACAGAAAAAATAGCTTTATCCACACAAAATCACACTCTAGCAGGGGACGCCGAGCTGATTAATAAATGATGAAAACACATGGGCTACTAGACGGGACACCACTAGGTGCCATGTGAACGGAAATGTATACTCGAACCCTCGTAGTAGTTACGTAAAGCCCCATCGGTATAACGGGTATAGATTGGTTCACGGTCCTTGTACACGCATGAAATAAGTCAACAAATGTACAAATACGAAAGACCTAGCACGCACTACCGTCAAAACAGCCCAAAAGCAGGATACTTCGGCCCCGTAAATTACAATCTGACTATGTAATGACAAGAAATGATTCCAGATACCCACATAATGAGGTCAGAAACCAATATATGCAACAGGATTATTTTCGGTTGCAGCAAACAATAGTCCCTCTTCCAGCACAGTTTGTTCAGGGAATAGTAGACACGCTGACACTGTCTAATCTGAGAATCCCTCCGAACATAAGCAACCAGGAGTTAGGGATAATAATAATGTATATTTTCATATACATAAAAAATAGTAACAAGAAAACCGACTAGCTATCCTCCTAACAACCCTGGTTTTCTGAAAATTTTGCTCTTAAATGCTCGATCCCTCCTTAACAAAATAACTTCCCTTCGCAGCTTGGTATCATGAAACGGCCAACACTGATCCTGGTAACTGAAATTTGGCTAACTAGTGATATACCTGACACAAAGCTGATAGTTGATAACTATGACATCCACAGGAATGATAGAGTGGACAAAAGAGGAGGCGGGTGTCTAATATATGCTCCAAATCTACTGACTCCAATGCTTTTGCAAACCTAACTATCGACAAACTCCCAGAATCTAAGTGGATAAGCATCCAAACGAATGAAAATAAAATTCCCTAAAACAACTGATACGGCTACCGGAGAAATACTAGAGCATGTACCTACGCCGGAATTCGACCACAAACTAGTTTGTGGGAATTTCAATCCCCCCTCTGGAGTGAACTGGGATAACTGCACTGGACCGAGAACCTACGAGGAGCTCCTAGAAGCCAAAGATGTAGGAGTTTGGAAGCAGTGCGTACGCCTCCCGACACGACATAACAGTATTCTCGACTTAGTCCTCTGCTACAGAATAGAGCCGATCTCGATAAAGGTGGAGCATAAACTCGACAAAAGCGATCACAGCATACTGTACTGCACCCTACCTCTTCAACCAACAAATAAACACACACCTAAAAATTCCTCAGTTCTCTTTCAATATAGGGGCTATAGAAATGCCGACTGGGAATTCCTATCAACGCTCTTGGGAAGCTCTGACTGGGATGAATACTTTACCAATAATAACTTAGAAGTAACACTTAATACCTTCTACAAGACAATCAGTTCGGTAAGAGACACAGTTGCACCCCTGAAATCTGCCCTAAAGACACCAACTGTATTCTTAGACCGCAAAACGCGATTAAAACTAAAGAAACTGAAAAGAAAATTTTATTTATGTAAAGAATTTAGTGCATTACACCAGGTACATGAAACATTTAAAAATCTTGAGGAGAGACATAAAATGAAGGCGAAATTCGAGGAAACTTAAGCCTTTTGGGGGCACCTCTAAAACTCAGTAACTCTGCAAGATCTTGCAAAAACGACTGAAGAGGGTTGAAGACAACAATGTTAGCCACTTGGAACATGAAGGTATAATTTATGATGATCCTTAGCCAGTGGTTCTCCAAGGACACCAAAGCGCATTCATCCGTAATTCTCGACATAACCTGCAGAAATAACGACAAGTTAGGTGAAATCAACTTTAATATACTAATATATAGCATAAAGACATTAAAATCTAACGGTAGTTGTGGGATAGATGATATACCATCTGTCATATACAAAAACGGTGGCACGGATATGATAGTATTATTATTTCGAATATTTACCCCCCCACTAATGACTGGGACCTACCCTGAAACCTGGAAAATCACATACAAATATATATTGCCGAAGCATAAAGCAGGAGCCAAAACTGGTGCATACAGTTATAGGCCTATCAATATAACAGCTGTCACATAAAGGATAATGGAGAAGCTGACCGAAGACAAGTGGACAAAATCATTTCTTAGTGACAGAAATCAGACAACAAAAGTTGGTTCGATGACCTTCAATCCTAGACCAATCAGCAGTTGTGTCATCCAGGGGAGCGTATTGGGCCCCCTTCTTTTCATTATATACATAAACAGTATATGTGAATGCTTTAGTATAGGCAAGCCAATACTGTATACAGATAACTTAAAGTTGACATATACCTGCACAAATACACATATCGGTACAACTATGAACACCATACATGAAGAATTAATAAAAATGGATATATGGTGTGACACCTGGAGACTTGAGGAGTTTAATGTAGAAAAGTGTGGCTGGCTCCACATAGGCTGTT